GCTATTTAAAGATTATATCAGCTGTTTTTCCATTTGAAGTACGGATCTTAGATATTTTGAAGTTTGGTATAAGTACTTACTATCTAAAACCCGATGATATTACAATAATTTGGTACTACAACAAGGACCTTCTTTAGTAGGCTCTGAATATCGAACGAGTGATACTTTCGTGTAATGCTTTCAGTTTCGTGGTACGGCCGCTTCGTCATGTTTTTGGTAAAATTTTATGATTAATGATGTTCAACAAAAAGATGATAATTCTAAAGACCTTTGAAAATTTCATAAAAGTATTCTATAAAGTTTGTTGTTGTTATTTTTTTTAGTTTACTGGAGCAACTTTTTTTTCAAAATACGTATTATTAAAGGACTTAATTATCTTATTCTGATATTATTTTACTGTACTAATATTTCATGGATTCTTATAATAAAAAAAAATACTTGAAAAATCAAATAAAATCAATGGCTTTATTGGCGAAGGGTTTCCCATCACTAAATAGCGCTTGCGACGATATCGGAGGTAGGTTTTCATACAGATCGCGGTACTTGCGGTGTCTATTTAGATATAATATGTCTGTGGTTATTAGACTTACAGCAAGCAAAGGCCCTGCGATGTCTCCGATAGTCCAGATCATCAGCGACTCAGTGCCCGGCACGGCCTGGACTTGAGGCCAGCTCCACGATACATCTGACTTGCTTCCATCTGGACTACCTGTGTAGGGACAAATGCTACAATATCGTAGTATTTTGATTAGATTCAAGAAAATTTGGAAGCGTTTATGATACTCTGTATAGTCATGGTTTATCATACAGAACAATAATACAGTAGAGGTGTTTGGTAGGCATGGCATGTGCGCCAACGTCGTATTTTCTCGGATTTAAGACTTAGTGCACAAGCGACATCCGAAGTGGGTCAGAGTTTTCTAGATTTGTATAGTCTCGGATACGGAAGGAACATGAATCGGATGGAATGCGCTAGCAGTTTAAAAGGAAAGCTGTAGTGACAACAGAGGTCGACCAAAAAAAGTCTGTAAAGGTATAAGATACGTAACATTTTAATAAATTGTCCATAGTAATACATTTTTTTTATTATATTATATTTTTTCTTTGCATGTTTACTACTTTTTGACAGTTTTTAATTATAATATTTTGTACATTATGCGACCACCACTAATTATATTTGTATGTTTCGACGAAACTGGTTGTAGTAGCACTGTTAATGTATTGAACTGATCTGATCAATTTATTGTACCTACTTCCACAAATAAATCGATTTTTATATTTATCTTTGTTATAACAAACGAAAGAAAATTTTATACCGCTGTAAAATGGTTGACTTTTTTAACCGACTTCAAAAAAAGGATTTCTCATTCGACTGTATGTTTTTTTTTGTATGTATGTTACGCGATAACTCCGGTATTCGAGAACAGATTTTCATGAATCTTCTTTTGTTGGAAAGGGGATACCATTTAATTTTGAAAAAAATCATCCACCTCTCAGGGTGGGTTCACGCATGAAGATTAATTTTTATAAATAGCGCCCAAATTTATTATAAGGAGCAATTATTTTAATGGTTGATTTTGCAATTCTCCAATTCAAGGCGTTACTTTTGAGGTCGGTTTTTTTAGTACTCTGTACTGAGCTTATTTGGAGAACCTTAATAGGCGTTAATCGTTCGTCGTCTCATACTGTCAGCGATTGCGGCAGCACATTGATTGAAATTTTAATATGTCTTAACTTGCGATAATCTTTCAACAATATGCCAATTGATTGAAAGAGTTTCAATTATATTAACAGTCCAGAATGTGTTGCATCATTTTAAATTAGACACTACGATCAATCATTATCAATATTCATAATGTTTAACATATCGACGCTTGGAAGGCAAAATGGGATAAGCGACACTTTTGGGTCATATTGAGTTATATATACCGTTGGAATCAGAAACATTAGCTGATACAAAGTGACGGTTATTTCATTTTGCAAGCGTCGATATGATTATATGAGTTCTTATAGCAATCGATCTGAAGGCACTTCCATTGGTTTTTCTTCCGTGTTTTAAAGAATAAAAAAGAGTAGAGAAAAGTTGACACGAGTCAGTTTACGCTGTGTACAACGCGACGCAGGAGACTTCTTTAGTTCAAAACAATATTAGCATAATTTTATAACCACTTCCACAAAGGAGCAAAGAGCAGTTTTACTCACCTCGGGCACAGAGCAATATGGATTTGTGATCCCTTACAGGTATGCCTTCTGGATCCACAGTCATTTTTATTATCACTTCATCGCTGAAAATTTGTAAAATGTTATTACTGCAAATTATTATATAATACGTTCTCGTATATAACACACGGTGATTATTATATGCCTTACGACCATTTACGGCAGGGAATGTTAGTAGCAGTAGAGCTTCTTGTGAAAGAGTTCGTCCAGGGAAGTACGACCACCTTACCTATTATTTGTTTTTGAGGTTTTGAGGTTTGGAAGGATAAGGGTGCTGGTGAAATCATGTCCGAATCGTGTGCATGTACATGATTTGGCAACAAATGTTTCAAAGCGACGGGCGCAGTGGCTGATCCCCTCAGATCTTTGCGATTTAAAGCTCTGTCTTAACTAGTTGTAGCTTTTGTCCTGTCTGATTTAAAGGCGTGCCGCTTACCACCACGCCCACGAATAAGAAAAATAATTACTGGTAGTTTTTCACAAAAACTTAAGTATGATTATCGTGGTAGCAAAATCGTGATATTCAATAAATAAACTATTATATGATCCTTTATACTACTTTATCCCGTGTTCGATCCCGGTAGGACCAATTTGCGAATTAATTTTTCTAAATCGGTTCAGGTCTGGATGTTCCAAGGTGAATACCGTAGCTCTTGTACTCATAAATAATAAGGAGATGATTTGAAGTAATGGCGGCTTTCCACGACCTGTGATTCCACGGCCGCGCTGCGCCGGCACGGGCGGCACGTTTCTCATGGCGCGTTGGCACAAGCCTGTGCGGCGCGGCCTGTGAATTCACGGGCCGTGGGAAGCCAGCTTAACCCGGGCTTACCTGACACCATTATTACTAGTAGTCGCATTAGCACAGCCCCCGTCGATAACAGATTTTGCCCTTATGCTAATACGCGCGTTTCCCACCAAATGCGCTCGAATTTCCACGCGACGAGCGATCGACGCGCGCTTGTTTATGCACGCCGCTTCCACGTAGTCTTGAGGACCTTCTATATGAGGGTCCTTTAGGATTTGAATTTGAACCTGAAATCAAAAGCTTAGACGATTTACATACAATGTTAAAGAATCACCACACTTTGAATTCATCGAGTTTTACCACATTTGTGACATTAAGCCTATCGATCGTACACGCCGCCCGCCGAAAGCACACGATCGGATACTCGCAGGAAGCAGATTCGTTGACGGCCTGCATTGAGTCGTTGCGTCTGACCCGAATCGAAACGCCTATCTCAGTCCAGTGCTGGATATAGGCCTCTCCCAATGTGCGCCATTTCGTCCGATCTCTCAGGATGTCGCATCCATCTGCTGTCAGCAGTCTTTTGCAGATAGTCACTCCATTTGGGCGTTCTACACTACGTTTGAAGGATCTTGGTCTCCCAACGATTATCGGTTCTTCGATAAATATGGCCAGTCCACGGCCACATCAGCTTGTCTATTCTACCAGCTATGTCGACGACCTTGAATCTCTGTCGGATAACTTCATATCGAATTTTGTCCTTCAGAAAACTTCGAGGATAGCTGGTTCCATAGCTTAGACTTTTTTTTTGTGGTGGACTAGCTTCGCTCTTACGTGGACGTAAAACTAACCAGCCTAACGTGATTCCACGTCAATAAGTGTGGTGACTTCCCTAGGGATATTTGCGACATCTTTCCCACAGGTGAGATTGCGGACAAACGCGAGTCAATCTCTAATTTAAAAAATTCGAAGAAAAAGAATACTCACACTAAGGGGTTTATAGAGGTAGTTGAATATTCGATACTGAATGAAGGAGGCGTCGCCGCGTTGCAAGCGTTGAGGGCCGTTTACGTGAATGAAGAATTCGCGGAATACCTGAAAACGTGGTTGATTTGGGATAATATACTTTATTTATTTACGATCAGGTTACAAAGATCCGTAAAAATCTTATAGACTAGCATACATAATAATAATATAATAATAATAACGCACACACTCGACATAGCCCCGCACTAGGCAAACCCTGTGTCGCGGGTGCCATGGACGCACAAATAGACAACTACAAATTACATCCAAAACCACGAGACAAATAAATGTAGGCCATACAAATATTTCTCCCGGCCCGGGAATCGAACCTGGGATCTCTGCACGGCAGTCCGGCATGGTAACCGTTCGGCCACGAAGGCAGTTAAAGTTAAGTAAAAACACTATTTATTTATTTACACGTCCTGACTGCAACGTGTAACGCAACGCGGGTGTCCGGTAACCGGCCTCGGAAACGTCGATACATTACACCCTTCGGTCAAAAGTCTTCCTTCACGAACGTTGAAAGATGTTGAATTGTTAGGTACTTTTACCACGAATCAATTAAATTTCACATACTGGCTGGATTCCAACTGCTCGACCCTTAGGGTAGCATTGGTTTTCACCCTTATGTACTCCACAATATCCGCAGACTTTGTGGAGTAATGAAGCCGTGACATGTATAGCAACGTCGCCAGTACCGCTGGACGTAATAGATGATTGGGGTCAGTTGGGGCGGTGCCACTAAGGTTACAGCTGGTGTGCTTCTTTTCCTTTTCCACATTTTTGAAACCGTCCTCGTCTCGGTGGTTCTGACGACGTATATATGTCTGGGTATTACTGTTGTTCGGAAGAGCTTAGGCATGTTAGTCATTTTCTGAATAATACTTGCAAAACCGCAGGCGGCGACACTGCAAGTCCAGTACTTGAGAGACAAACAGCTGACGCTTCGTATTTGGTGATGGAATCCGGTACCCGTGCCGTCGTCGTGCTTGTGTTGACTTTTATCGGTATTAAGCGCCACAGCCAGGACTGGAACAAAATTGAATTAACTAATACATGTCTCGTGACAAGAGACATTTAGTAGCAGTCGAGCTCCTTGTGAAAGAGTTGGTCCAAGTATCCCTAAGCAGGGGCAGTGCCCCTGAGATCTTTACGATTTAAAGCTCTGAGTATCACTGCAATTGTTACGGATAGGTGTGTCGCCACAGATTACTGAATAGTTACTACGTAACAGATACGTTACTCTCATACAAAATCGAAAATACCTACGCTATAATAGCCTACTAAATCTGACTTATGACACCGGGCGCTCACTACGAGGAAAAAGGAACCTAAGCACGAGTTCAGAGAGGTGAAAATAAAGTTGCCCATTGTGAGCAGTCGTACAGAGCTGAATGCTCATAAGTGAAAGATGTGTGAGAGCTCGTACCGACGTCGGTACACTCAGCGGTAGGCACTAATCGCGTAACCTCGAGCGCATGACGGAGCCCTGGTGTCGGCGCCACCACCACCAGGCGCACGACTTGTTCTTCACTTGGCATTATAAAAAAAAATTACAAGTGACAAGACTAAAGAAATTAAATTCTGGGGTATATATTGTAGTTTTTATATACCGGGACTATAGGTAAAAACGGTAGATATTCCCTTGATGACTATAGCTACTAAAGTTTAGCTACCAATGTTTTTGAGGATCTTACCTCAGAAAAGTCACTTCTAGGCACGGTGATTTCATCAGCGATCAACAGTGCTGGCTGGGGCATGCAGGGTTTGGTCTTCCTCATGGGTCCACCCATGATCCTGATTCCAGCCTCTCCTAACCAGTAGGATATTAGATCCACACTCTCCGTAGGGCTGTCTATGTTAGATGAAGCTGAAATATTTTAAAAAATTATTATAAATGGTCATGGCACAACATAGCGAATAGAAACCTTAAATGGTTGGTAACATAGAAAGAACGAATGTTATAACGACAATGTTATACGACGACCCGCCCAGGTTTATTAATTCCATATTATTAATAGGGTTTTATTAATTCCATACTAATTACAAATTTCGAAGTAAAAATGTTTTCTAGACGAAAAGGAGGCAACTCCACACAATACCTACCTTGCAATCGTTGTGGATTCTCATTATCAGGAATGCCCATTATGATTCGATTTTTATGAAGATCGATTCAAGTGCATTTTTCTGTATTGATTTATTTCAATGCAATTTTCAAGTATATCAATAAAAGGGTAAATAGAATCGTCAAGATCAGAAGCAATAAACATTTTGTAATAATATCATTAAAATTTAACAAAACTCGATTTCCAACACATATTTAGTAGTAAATAGTTATTGCCCTCGATTTTGGGCGTTAACAGGTTTTAATCCAATTTACACCCGGCGTTAACAAACCCTGGACGCTTGCCCATCTCTGGGCGTACGTGTTCCAAACACTGTAAAACCGTAGAATAATAACACAAGTAGGGCAACTTCCGCCTGTTCAATGCCTACACTTCGCTCGGAGCGTAGGGTTGTCACATTATTATTTTAGTGTACCTACAGGTACTTGTGAAAGAGATAATCCAGGGTACTACTTGCCACCTTACCTATTTCTGCCGCCAAGCAGTAATGTCAGCATTACTGTGTTCCGGTTTACAGGCACATGGGACTTGTCAACTTATGTCTCAGGGTGGCGGGCGCAATGGCAGTGCGGCTCAGATCTTTGCGATTTAAAGAGCTGATTGGCAATGCAACTGTTATGGACAGGCGTGTCGCTTACCATCAGGCGCACGACTTGTTCGTCCCGTCACCTGATATTATAAAAACAATATGTAAAAAACCGTCAAAACTAAACGTTAGGTGACAGCGCCACCACTGCAGCAGCAGTTATTTCGTCGATGTTAATATAAGTAACGCCAAATCGTCACCATGTACGCGTTAAGAGAGAGAAATGCAGATGGCGTTACACCAATAAAAGTATTCCTCTCAAAACTATTCAAAAATAGTTATACTTACTGAAGAAGCATTCTCCCGCTGCATCGTAGGTTGTCAGGTTTCTGTGTGAATTAATTAACTTTTTCAGCCCGCCAAGTATTACGTCTTTTACGTTTCCCACTGAAATTAATCAGGTCAAATGTTAACTTTATGATTATTATGTATTTTTAACTAAGACGCAAAAATAGGGCAGTTGTAAGTTTCAAGTCTTTGCCTGTGTACCTATGCCGTAAAAAACTTGTAGCAGTTACCAATGTAACTACATTGATAACTGCTTGAAACGGACTACTACTACTAACTACTTGGAACTACTAGACACGCTTCAATTAATCGTGCTATTAGAAGAAATCCCTGGTTCACTAATTTCTGTACAAGAGAAAGAATTTTTTTTTACTACATTGTTAAGATTGAGAATGGGGCACGCTCGATTCAATGCTCATATCCATCGCATGCGCATTATTGATTCTCCAATATGTACCTATTGCAATACTGCCGATCAAACTCTGGGCCATATATTTTTTAACTGTACATCCTTCAATTTACTACGCCTTAGTCTCATTGATCAACTGCTGGAAATATGGCAACCCTGAAGGTCTCCCGCGCTCAACAGAAGACCTATTGAAAATAATAGAAGCTTACCCTGTATTACACATTTACCTAACATCTAGTCTTCATGACATATGAAATAAGCTCAAAGAAATAAGCTACATAAAGAATAGGCGCTTGTCGCGTTTTCTATCAAAACAAGAAAGGATAGATTTATTATATGTATGGTGGTACCTTTGCCTACCCAAATAAATGGGTGAACAATAATCTCAGTACAGAGTACTAAAAAAACCGACCTCAAAAGTACGTGGAATTACGTTTATTTGCTAAGTTTTATTGAAATATCCCCTAGTTCGCCACTTTACAGGATTTGACAATGGAGATAATAAAAATAGGTTCTCACTACGCCACTACTCAAAGTATATTGAGAGAAAAACGCCTTGAATTGGAGAAATAGCAAAATCAACCATTAAAGTAATTGCTCCTAAATTAAAGTTAGGCGCTATTTATAAAAATTAATCTTCATGCGTGAACAGCCACCCTTCGAGGTGGATGATTTTCTTCAAAATGAAATGGGACCACTATGGAAGTACCCCCTTTCCAACAAAAAAAGAATCATGAAAATCGGTTCACAAATACCGGAGTTATCGCGTAACATACATACAAAAAAAAGAACATACAGTCGAATTGAAAACCTCCTCCTTTCTTGAAGTCGGTTAAAAAATGACATAACATTGACAGTCATCAAAGAAGTTTTGTAAGGTACGCGCCAACTGACTTGACATTGGCAAAATTCTACACGAGAAGTCAGAAACGTAAAAATAGAAGTTACGCGCCAGTTTCCGTTCGCGGTGTTCAATGAGTGAAAAGTGTGCCCTTTATTTTCTTTTTATATCATCTGGTGGCTGTTAATTGATATATAGTATTCCCAAGTGCATGGTAAATTGTTCACTACGACACTTTTATTTGGTTTGACAGATCTATGTTTTTGTTTCATTAAAAATATGAGTATAATATTACCAAAGTCAGTTAAATTGACAATAAAGAAGGACTTTCACTATCCAAAATAATTCTATTCAAAAATACTCAAAAGTCAGGATAACTTTGAACTGTCCCTTAAGCGCAATTTTGTCAAACAGATTTTTTTGTAATTCGTCATTTTAGTTTTGGCTTGGATACAAGTCCTTTGAGGCATTCGTTTAATTATCGGGATCCTCAGTAATATTTTCCATTCTAGTTCTAAATTCTAATACTTTTGACTTTTTCTTAAATAACTTACTTCACTTATTTGGGTTTATTAGTCTTTTAAACGGCGGGAGTCAATATTTATGTTTTACTTTCCCTTAAATCACATTATCTTCTAACACTTTGAACAATAACTTTGAATTCGTAATTAGCGGAATTTTCAGGATAAAGTCTTTTGTAATTTGGGTTAAAATAAGGAATATAGTTCTAACTTCTTCATCACTATTTCTTTCTTCATTTTTTCTTCATAATATACTTAAAATAAAAATAATCTTTGTAAAAACTGTACTCGTAACTTCAAAAACCCGCCATTAATCACATAATATATAAAGCCCTTGGTGTTGCAAGCGTTAATAGGCGACGGTGATCGTTTTACATTAGGCGTGTCGTATGCTTGTTTGCTGCCTACATAATAGAAAAAAATAAAAATAAAAATTTATACGGTGTGTTGGTTCGTTCCGTAGCTCATTTAGGAGAGCGTCAGGCACGATGTGCTGAGGCCGCTGGTTCGAATCCAGCCGGACTAAGTACTTTTTCTTAGTGGTCAAGTTTTGTATTAATAATAATTATTATAAGAAACGAGTGATATTCAACAAACTTAATATTGTGAAAGGACACTCATTTATTAATCAATAAAACCTATTTTGACAAATATACATTTTTATTTTAATATCCATAAAATCGTGAGAATATTGTTCAAAGTTACCCAACTTTACTGTATGCTGTTTACTTAAGTAGATAAATATTATAATTAGGTAATTTTCTTACTCGGATGCATCCATTTAGCAGCTACATCTAAAGCAGTGAGAGCACAAAGCGCTGGCCCTGGAGTGGAGATCTGTAGCAAGGTATTGGCCCCAGGCGAGGTTTGCTTTGGTTGCCACGTGAGTTCCACCTTAAAAAAAGTCACGACGTCCTTATACAAAATTCTCAATATTTTCTTAATCCATGGTCATAAGGGCTCGCGCAAACTTATCAATGTATATTGCATGTTATTACAATTGTAATAAGGTATAAACTTTAATGCTCTGAAAGCTGTCGGTTTGTCGCGGAGTATCGCAACGCATTTCTCCTTGCGGTATTGAAGAGCTTACTAAAAGATACCGCGGCGGGAGGCGCCGGAATCCACCGGTATCATATCAAATCCGAGCGACCGGTGGCATGTCGGTGGATGCCGCGGCATTTAAGTGGACTCTGGGGTACGCTGGCGAACTCTCACGGTAATATAAGGGATATCCCTTACATTACCACCAGCGTACACTAATTACAGTGTGCGTTGCTGGGCACAAGATGGTTTACGATGCTCTCACGCCTATTTGCACTGGTCCTTAATATCACAAAATTCGTGACAAAAGTTCAATATTTCGAGTCAGGAAATATTGATATCATTTTTCAAGTACAACATTCCTCAAAAGTATTTCTACAAATCTTACCTTATTAACAAAGCACTCTTCCATTTCAAAATGTTTGCTGGCACTGACTAACTCTCCGTTGTAATAGAAGTATGCTATCAAATGGCTATCAGGGCACAGTTGTGGCGTCACTTTGATCGGCAACATCACTCTTGGTAAATCTGACGCGTTCAAATCTGATAGATCACCATTTCCATCAACCTTGTCATGATTATCAAGTTTCTTATCATTAGAATTGAATTTCATAAAGTTAACACCTTTGTTGTTTGTATTTGGTCCATTTATATCAATGACATTGGAAGGGCAAAAAGCGTCTCTTGGTGTACTTTGTATTTGAACAGCTGAATTGGTGATTGGACATTGCGTTGTTGTTACCCATTTGTTGATGATTCCTCCTCTTGTGATGATCTGGTAACGACGGAAAATGTTTAATATTTATTTTATTGAATATCTATGGTACTACTACTACTACTAGATTGTTGCTATTATTGAGACATAGATCGAAAAAACACAAAGAAAAAGTCCTTCGATCCAGCTGGACTCGTATCACCTCATTGGTCTAGAACATTTACGAGCCTGAGTCGAGTCAAGCGCGAGTCATCGGAGTACGGATTCGAGCCTAAAAAGAACCCGACTTTTGGATATAACTCGAGTTTGAAAACTCGAGTCAAAGCGACTTCTACTGTACAAAGTCTCTAGTACGATCAGCAGGGTTCAATTTTACTGAACAGCTAGTATTGCCCACGAATTAAATAAAAAACAAAAATCCAATATGTTGATTAAAAATAATCTCAGTACAGAGTACTAAAAAACCGACCTCAAAAGTACGTGGAATTACGTCTATTTGCTAAGTTTCATTGAAATATCCCCTAGTTCGCCACTATACAGGACTTGATACTGGAGATAATAAAAATATTTTCTCACTACGACACTACTCAAAGTATATCGAGAGAAAAACGCCTTGAATTGGAGAAATAACAAAATCAACTTAATAATTGCTAAAAGTAATTGCTCCTAAATTAAAGTTAGGCGCTATTTATGAAAATGAATCTTCATGCGTGAACAGCCACCTTTTGAGGTGGATGATTTTCTTCAAAATGAAATGGGACCACTATGAAGATATCCCCTTTCCAACAAAAAAAGAATCATGAAAATCCGTTCACAAATACCGGAATTATCGCGTAACATACATACAAAAAAAAAGAAGAAAAAAAAGAACATACAGTCGAATTGAGAACCTCCTCCTTTTTTGAAGTCGGTTAAAAATAGATGTTAATACTTAATTATAATCCCAGTAATTGCACTACAATTTAACACATCACACCGCAATGCCCCTCAGCAGATACTTACCAGACTCGAGCTTGACTCGTTACATAAATAGACTCGAACTCGAGCGCGCGTTCATAAATAGACTCGAGCACTAATAAATAGACTTGAACACTCGGGTCTGTTCGGAAATTCGATAGGCTCATAATACATCGAGCAGTGCAGTCTCAGCTTTACGAGTCGCATGTCGTGAATTATATACTACGTATACGTCGCATATTCTATACGTCACACCTATAAAGAGGCCACGGACCACCATTCTCTGCGTTCCTGACATACCTCATTCTCTTTCTTTTCTTGCATCAGTGTCTGTACACGTTGGTTTATTCTTGGTCCTTGCCCAGGTCAAGGTTTTTTTATGGATGGCCATCTTAAATCTGATTGTAATAATTACTCCGTGGTTCACTCCAGTTTCCATAACTAAGTTCCTTAATTAGGGTTCTGAGTGAAATTTTCTATTTTTTCGTTTATTAACCGACTTCAAAAAAGGAGGAGGTTCACAAAACGACTGTATGTTTTTTTTTGTATGTATGTTACGCGATAACTCCGGTATTTGTGAACCGATTTTCATGATTCTTTTTTTTGTTGGAAAGAGGGTACCTCCATAGTGGTCCCATTTCATTTTGAAAAAAATCATCACCACTTCTAAGGGTGGCTGATCACGCATGATCATTCATTTTTATAAATAACGCCTAAATTTTACTTAAATAGCAATTATTTTAATGCTTGGTTTTGCTATTCTCCAATTCAAAACTTCTCTCTCAATATACTTTGAGTAGTGAGAACCGATTTTTATTATCTCCTGTGTCAAGTCCTATATAGTGGTGAACTAAACAGCCCCATATTTCAATAAAACTTGGCAAATAGATGTACTTCCACGTACTTTTGAGGTCGGTTTTTTTAGTACTCTGTACTGAGATTATTTTAAAGACAAATATTAAATATACCAACATATTTCTTTAATTCTTACCACATAATGCACTGTGAGAGGTTTGTGTATATTCTTCACGTTCAAGTAAAGTGGGACGGAGGTGTTGGCGGCATGGGGGCCTGGTTCCCAGGATCCCAAAGTGGCATGTATGAAGCCTGATCGTTCGACTGGCAGGAATAGTGGAGGAGTCACTGATGTTGAATCGTTTTGACCGGCAGCCTGTAAAAATATATTATGGGTATAGAAAAGCTAGAAGAATCATGTCTGTATGTAAAGCTACAATACAATAATTTATTCCTTAGTGACTGCTATGCTTAGCACTCAAGGGAATTAATCTTCAAAACGATTATGATTTTTCAAAACTTAATGAATATTTCTGGTCCGTAGACTCTCAAATTTGGGAATTCCCTGTGACAACGGAATTAACTCTGGAGCATGACCCAGCACACCCAGACCAGAAACAATTGAGAAAAGTTCGTTTCCCAATTTGGTCCTACAGGGAATTGAACCCGGGACCTCTTCATCAAGCGACCAGGGCATAAACTGTTGGGCCACCAACCAAAGTTATCAACTTTGAGATCGCTGGCCACCCCCTTGAATGATTCTTAATGAGACATATCGTAGCCCTGCGCTTAGCCACGCTCACGTAACAAGTAGCCGCCATGCTGAACAGTGCATGAGATATTTCTTGTAAGCTATTCGCTGATTGCCGTTTGTACGTCATTGCGGGGAGGCTATTTTCATGTACTCCAAAGATATGAAGATATATCGTGAGAACTTCACGGTCTTTAGGCTAGCTTCACAGTTGTCCGCCTACGGGCCATCCGCATGCGTAGAATCCGCAGTCTTCTGAATCGAGTATTTAATTTAGTGCGGATGGTCACGCCTACAATGAACGCACGGGTGGCTCGCGCGGAATTCACGTGCAGTCTGTACGGAACAGATCAATTCTCTTCACTGTAAGACGAAGTTCTAACACCACACCGCGGATAAATCTGCGCTGCACTGAAACCAGCTCTAGTTTCAATACTTCTAAAATACTTACCAGGAATCGATAAAAACTGCTGCCATCATCGTCTGCTGTGAAAGTGACTTTTGCAATCCCTCTTTTGTCGGTGACTGCTTCACTGCAGTCTGTATTTACCGGCTCCTGCATTTCTTCATTAGGATGACTGGTTGGAGAGCGGCATACGCGCAGTTTCTCATTTGATGCTGCTCTGTCATCCCAAAGGGTTGCTTTTATCTGGGAATTGAAAAAATAACAGAGCGTTTAAATTATCGTGGTTTGAAAGGTTAAGGAGAAGCAGTACAATCACAGGTATAATGAGAGTTGCATTTCGGGTTTTAATCAGGTTAAAACGCCCGAAATCGACGGCAAAAGCTATTTACAATTAAATTATTGATATATCGAGTTTTGTTCGAATGCTATGATATTATTACAAAATGTTTATTGCTTGCTTACATACTTTGCTTATCTGGCGAATCGATTCGCTTCAAAATTGCATTGAAATGAATCGATACAAAAAATCGTTAGATCTTATATACTTGAATCGATTTTTATAACCATTTTAATTAAGTATATTTCCAGGATTTTATTAGATCGGACGAAGTACATCCTATCGTAACACATAATTAGCACATTCTTCAGACAATAACTTTGGTGTATCGTATATTTTTTGTAAGACCGTTGTCTAATAGTAATTACCTAAACCATTTGAGCTAGCAAAACAGTTTTTCCCGCTTCTTCTCAGGTGACTCGCCTTAAGCTGTTTCAATTGAAATAAGGTATAATTTGCAATGACCGACCTCGGAGCATCGCGGCGCATTTCGCTATGTGTCTCAAAGCATGGAAATTTAGACTTTATTTCAATAGGAATGTACACTAATAAATTTAAAGTCCTACTTCCTACAACCACAGAAATTCGAATGTTTAGATTTCCGTGCCTACAACAGTTACACTGAACAGGTCAATAAAACCGTCTTTAGAATATTGTTAGAAACAATGAAAAGATATGAAACTGCCTCTGTGGCCGAACGGTTACCATGTTGGACTGCACGCAGAGATCCTGGGTTCGATTCCCAAGCCGGGAGAAATATGTGTAAGGCCTACATTTATTTCTCTCGTGAGTTTGTGGGTGTAATTTGTGGTTGTCTATGTGTGTGTCCATGGCATCCGCGACACAGGGTTTCCCTAGTGCGGGGCTATGAGTGTGTTGCGTTATTATTATTATTATTTGATATTTATTTTAAACTCTCGCCTCTCCCAAGGCCTAAAAGATTAATTTTGAATTTTTAAATGGGAGAGGCGGTATTTCCCGGTAATGGCACAGTCGGTCGGAGTCAGGGACTCAGGTACAAGAACCGGCGAACAATACGTGCCGTATCGAGCAGGATCGCTATCTCCATTTGTGCTGGAAGCGACACGCCACAGAAATCCAACCGCCTCAAGCTGTTAGAAAGGCTGACTGGAATTAACCCATTTGCGGACAAAACCATTGGAATTATTTCAGTGGAGCCCACATCCCACATGTCGGTGATCTCGTGCGCCAGGTCGAGATACTTCTCGGTTTCAGCTTTCACGAGACCCTCGTCATGCGGGATGGTGACGTCCACAAGAAATACCCTCGACTGCGATCGATCCAATATCACAATATCAGGCTTATTCCCAAGAATAGTCCTGTCCGTGTTAATAGATCGATCCCAATAGATTTTGGTGCGGTCATCTTATTATTATTATTATTATCTACTTAACTCAAAATGACACAAACTTTACGTGAGTGAGTTCTGCCCCCGTAGCATGGCTACGCATGACAGTCGCGACGCGCGCGATAAAGTTTAATTAAGCGCGCGCTATTGGCTATCTAAAATAGATCTGATTGAGACAGCCAATAGCGCGCACTTACATACTACGGGGGCTGGACAAACCATAATTAACGCACACACTCAACACTCAACATAGCCCCGCACTAGGGAAACCCTGTGTCGCGGGTGCCATGGACACACAGACAACTACTAATTACATCCAAACTCATGAGAGAAACAAATGTAGGCCATACAAATATTTCTCCCGGCCCGGAAATCGAACCTCGGACAATTAAATATTTTTGTCTTATTTTTAAAAACACATTATGTTTGGTAAGTAGGAAATTCTTTAGATGTCTGTAATGTCTAACATCTAACGTGTCTGTGATGGAAGTAATTTGTTTCTTTCTTCATCGATTTCGAAGAAATAAAATTTTTGATTCAATGCACGTGCTTTTTGTGAAATTTCTAACCTTGAGTGTGTAAGGGAGTCCTGGATACATGACAGCTCGGTTTTTTGTGAGAAACTTCAATGTGACACTTTTGTCTACCACTTGGGACACCACTGTTGTGTTCTGCCAAACACGTGTCCCTTCTTCCTGTAAAAAGAAAAAAATAGTTTTTTTGTAAAAACGTTACAGAAGTCACGTGTAAGTTTCCTAAAGATTGACATACGGATTTCTTATTCACGTTTGAAATTGAACTCAATAGCTAAACCATATTGACGAGTGGCCTTGTAGCGTGCGCAGTAAAGGTCATAATACAGCTTTTAGATATTGTTGAGTACGTATTGTCTTAACTTCTCGCTTAGAACAGAAATGTCTCTTTGTGTTATTGCAACGCTTGTGAGACGCCGAATGACCCGCCAAGCTCGTCAGGTACTATATATCCGCACCCTAAATGTAATATGGCCGCATCTGGAAAATGACGACTTTTCGGGAGAAAGGCTTAAAGATTTTACAAAAGAAATTAATGAGAAGAAACGAAAGAATTGTAAAACTTCACATGCATACGCATACTTTGTTTCGTGTATCTAATATATTTCCATGTGTTAAAAGCAATTTTCACAATAATATTACTTAGTCGATAGAGTTACGAGAATTGGAAAGGATATGGGTTATACTTTTCTGTATCTAATGGAGCAATAAATATTTTTGACGTAACTCCACATATTCTTCCACGAGGGGTGCGCCATGTGGCTTTACCACACCAAGGGTACGATTTTCTTTAAATCTATTGTTTATTTGAATTGTTGATCGGTATACACTATGTTATATTAGATTTATATTGTTTGTTGTTACATTTAAGGTATACCCCTGTGCTTCAAAACAATACTCTAGTTTAAGCAAAAAAAGTCGGTGTTTTTTCGCCAAATATGAATTACAATTGGATATCAGATTTATAACGTTACATGTCGCTGTATTTCAAAATATTTTAGCTTTATTATGTATTTATTTTTAATTTTACGTGTTTTTTTATTTTAAGTAACTAAAGTACTTGTCTTATAGACATCGGCAACAACGACGGTACCATAGACATGAGAGAATATAGAAAAGTCAGTTTTTCTACATTGGTCCGACCGGGGATCGAACCCGGGACCTCGAAGATGGCGACACCATGAAAACCGATGTGCAAACCACTCGACCACGGAGATCGTTAATATAATATTTATAACATACCAAGGACACGGGTAATCGCTAAGTGTGCTTTTGTCATAGGTAAACAATGCTCCATATTGTCGGGTAATATAGCCCCATACCTGTCTACATTAGTTTTAATCAGTTAGTTTTAGTGACCCTCCCTACTGGCTCTTAGGGAGTACGAGAAGGGCACTTATAACCGCAGAGGAACCTTATAAGCTCAGGTTCTGACCCCAGATCAGCTAGAGTACAGGGTTGTCACAGACCTCTGTCCCTTGACTTCACCCGGGCTTCAGGCGATGTCAAGTGAGACAGTGGTGACGTGCGAGAGTACCTGGAAAGAGAAGTCTGCGATAACGACGTCAGGGGACAGCGCAGAGTCCAGGCCGACGCGGCGCGCCGCCACGGAGTGGCGGTGGCAGGCGTTGGGCGGGCGCAGGCGCACGGCGGAGCGCGTGTTCGGCGCCGACGCACCCGGCGCGCCGCGCACGCGGATCACGAGCATCCCTTCCACGGCTTCTGTCCAGGGGTATCTGAGGACATGCCGTCACCGTAAAGAGAAAACCTTAGTTACGCATTTTTCATACTTGGTTTTTACTGATTTTTCTTCGAGCAAGACTTATGATTATGAGCCTCTTGGTTAAATATATTATTATAGTAATGCAGCATGTTTGAACCGCCCGTTTACATATTTTGTCTCGCCTCAAATAGCCGCAGTTAAGGTGGTTTTCCACCGGCGAGGCGAGGAGAGCCGCGGCGAGACGAGAATAGAAAATTGTATGGCAAAATTTCAATTCTCTCCTCGCGCATCTTCGGTGGAAAAGATCTGGATTGACGAGTATGGGCGAGGCTAGAATTTAAATGTTTGTTGATGTAATATTGAACCGTATTGCTGCAATGGAGCATTATACTGTTTAACGGAAATACGACTTCTCGCGCGAGCTCACGATGGCTGTTAATATTAATCGCGAGATTTAAAAAACGACAGTACCATCTGATTCTTCTTCCGTTAACATCATATAATAATAATTTAGGGGACATGTTACTTCAGCCGCGAATTTATCGCTAGATGACCTGAACATCACTGAATCGCACGAGCTCGCAATGGCTTTCAATTCTCGTCTCTTCACGCCTCGCCAGTGGAAAACTACCATTGAAAGTGGAATAAAACGAGCAATGTAACATAAACTTTATCGTATACCACTTAAGGTTGCATTTCTTTAAACAAAATAGAAAAAGTATATTCAGCAAGCGGCGGCGGTCGGCGTCGAGTTGTCACGCAATAAAATTAAATATATTATGGAACATGTTCTCTACTGAATAAAGTTTACATTTATTCTAATAAAAGAGTGTAGCCCGGCGCAGCTTGTCGCAGCAGCTTATGATGTCACGGGCAATAGAAATTGTTACTAAGTTTCTCAACAATAAGGTATATTATATTACTACAAACAAAAACTCGATAACAAATAGATCAGTTTGTATGAATGGACGGAGCTATATACTATTTAAGATCAGACAAAATAGTTACATTTCCAGCAGTTAGGTTTACTGACCTTACACAAATAGTCCACACAAGCCTGTCGATGGTCCTGAGTACTTTACGTGGATGTTTGACGCTCAGTTGGAAAGGCGGTAACTCGTAGTTGCCGACCCAGAACGCTGAACCACCCTGTAATTTTATCAAATGAAACTTTAAAGACGCTTACGCACCAGGTGACGTGTTAAAAAATACATAATCGTTATAGAGTTATTTCACACAATAATTGTTATTTTGTATAATAATAATAATAATAATAATAACGCTCACACTCAACATAGCCCCGCACTAGGGAAACCCTGTGTCGCGGGTGCCATGGACACACACATAGACAACCACAAATTACACCCAAACTCACGAGGGAAATAAATGTAGGCCACACAAATATTTCTCCCGGCCCGGGAATCGAACCTGGGACCTCTGCGTGGCAGTCCGGCATGGTAACCGTTCGGCCACAGAGGCAGTTAAAGTTAAGTTTCCGTGTGCAGTTGCTGGTCTGCCATCGGACGCGTCCCCAGGTGGCGGATAGGGGAACGGCTCCCAGATATGGGAGCTACCGGCTTCGGCCGGCGCGGACCAAAACCAGCACCGGGAGGGGAGGAAGATAGCGTTGGTTCCGTCCGGCGCTATCGAACTCGTAACCGAGACGGTGGGCGGTGCTCGGTCTCAGAACCGGCTCCGGCCAACCCGTAATCCCACATGGAGTGTGACCGGGGGTCCTCCTCACTGAGAGGAGGGCCGCGAGGAAGAAAACCTCTATAAAAAATCACCCCAATCCCAAGTTCTAGCGCCCGGCGATGGGATGAATGGCTGGTGGGTGTCCAGTCATCAGGGCGCACCAGTGGGGAGCTCACCCTCTTTCAAAGCAAGCATAAATATGGAACAGGCACGTTTTAAAAATGGTCCCCAGGCGGGTCCCCGAAAGGGGGAATCCCGCCCATCCGCTTCGGCGGATGGCAGCCCCTCGTACTCTGGGGGGGG